TTTTAAGTAGAGACAGAGTTTTGCTATGTTGACCACGCTGGTCTCGAACTCCTGGCCTCCAGTGATCCGCTCACCTCAGTCTTCCAAAGTGCTGGGATTACAGGCATGAGCCACTGCGCCCGGCCCCTAGCCAGGTTTTAATTTGCTTCGGGACACAGTGTACTTTGAGATGGCATCAAACCAGCCACACAGATTGACCTTGAGGTTTTTTCTTTCCTATCCCCCAACATCATGAGGTGGCTGGTATTGCGCCCAATCTAATGAGAAGTGCCCCATCAGTTTCAGGTCAGATCTGCAGAAACATAGAAGAAGAGGAAGCTGACTGACAGGGGTGGGATGTCCCTCCCAGTTACGCTCAATTTCCCCCAGGCTCAGTGAGTGGGATTCACTGAGGCTGCCTGCCTCTGCTCAGGCAGCACAGAGGGTGGGAGCAGCAAAACCCGCCAAGGAGGAAGCTTTCATGCTAAGTGGGGTGAGGTAGGGTATGACCAAAGGAAAGGAAGGACAGCCAGCTCTCCCAAGTCACCCTTCCTACCATGCCATCACAGGGCTCCAAGTGGCCCTCACTAGAACACTAAAGCTTTAAGATGCAAAGAAAGAACCAAAATGATAAACGAGGCCCATTTCAGGCCTTGTTCCCACATGGTGGCTGTTCAAACTGGGCTTAACTGGCAAGCACCACAGCAGCCCTGGGCTCCCCGCTGGCATACCTTTGCGAGGACAAATCGGTCGTTGTCTGGATTCTCTGGATCTGACTGCTTGTACCTCATGATGTAGAAGAACAGCACAGACATGATCTCGGCAGAACTGCTACAGGATGTAGGGTGGCTGAAAGACAGACACGACACTGGTCATTTCTCACAGCAACTGACTTCCTAACACGTGATCTTGGCACATGGTCTCCTCATAGAAGCAGTCATTTCTCCCAGACCGGGAAGAATCCAACCAAGGGTAAGGAACGCAGGGCTCACGGGCTGGAAGGGTGCTTTAAAGCCCAGTAACCTCACCACCCCTCCCCGTGCGCACAGCGAGGCCAGCTCCTAACAGCAGAGCACTGTGGACTCAGGGCAAGTTTCCTTCATGCCTCTGACGTGAGTATTCTTTCACACGCTTAAATTCATTTGTGGCATTTCCACATGCCGAGGAACTTTCAGGAGCATTGCTAACCAGAAATGCCATGAAGATCCCATTCTACTTTCTACAATGAATTTCTTTTAGGAAGTGAATGGTGACATACTGAGAAATTTGTCATGGTAGAGTAACTGAGGACCTTTCTGAGTGTTGGCAAAGTGACTGCTGCTCTTAGAAAGCGCCTGCATGTGAGTCCAGCCAGGTCCTAATTAATTAAAAAGGGGGAGGGGACAAGACACAGCAGGGGAGAAAACCAACTCTCTGGAGCTCTGCCCAGCTGTAAGTAAAAAAAGATGTTAGGCCTAGCTCATATTAATAATCTCTCATTTCAAATTTCACTAAGAAAGTCCCCATTAAGAAAATGGGGACTTAGGCTGGGCACGGTGGCTCATGCCTGTAATCCCAGCACCTTGGGAGGTCGAGGCGGGCGGATCACCTGAGGTCGGGAGTTCGAGACCAGCCTGACCAACATGGAGAAACCCCATCTCTACTAAAAAAAAAAAAAAAAAAAGTGTGGTGGCCCATGCCTGTAATACCAGCTACTTGGGAGGCTGAGGCAGGAGAATCACTTGAACCCGGGAGGCAGAGGTTGCGGTGAACCGAGATCACGCCATTGCACTCCAGCCTGGGCAACGAGAGCAAAATTCCATCTCGGAAAAAAAAAAAGAAAAAGAAAAAGAAAAAGAAAATGGGACTAAAATCTCTTGCTTTGCAAACATCCTCTAAGTGGATGATTTAGATTTAAAAGTCACACAGATCCCTCGAGAAAATGCAGCCATCTGTTACTAATTTTGAAAGTGAAGGGAACAAAATGAACATGTACAAAAAATTCAGACAATATATGGTTCTTAACTGCATCCACACTGTCCTTTTACTATCTAGCTCAGGCTCTGGAGCAAGATTTTATTTACTTATTTTTTGAGACACAGTCTCACTCTGCTGCTCAGGCTGGAGTACAGTGGTGCTATCTCGGCTCACTGCAACCTCCGCCTTCTGCGTTCAAGTGATTCTCCTGCCTCAGCCTCCCAAGTATCTGGAATTACAGACGTGCACCACCACGCCCGGCTGATTTTTGCGTTTTTAGTAGAAACAGGGTTTTACCATGTTGGCTAGGCTGGTCTCAAACTCCTGACCTCAGGTGATCCACCCCACCTTAACCTCCCAAAGTGCTGGGATTACAGGCATGAGCCACCGCACCCGGCCAACAAGATTTAAAAAGACATATTGTACTAAGCATTTTCTCTAACCGCAATGGGATGAGGTTAGAAATCAATAATAGATGGAAAACTGGAAAATTCACAAATTTGTGAAAATTAAGCAACACACTCTCACACAACCAAAGAGCAATGGCGAAATAAATAAAGGGCATCCACATTGGAGAAGAGGAAGTCAAACTAGTGCTGTAACACTGATGATACAATCAGACAGCTAGAAAACCCTAGGCCAGGCGCAGTTGGCTCACGTCTGTAATTCCAGCACTTTGGGAGGCCGAGATGGGCGGACCACCTGAGGTTAGGAGTTCAAGACCAGCCTGGCCATGGTCTGGTGAAACCCCGTCTCTATTAAAAATACAAAAATTAGCTGGGTGCGGTGGCGCACACCTGTAGTCGCAGCTACTCGGGTAAGGCAGGAGAATTGCTTGAACCTGGGAGGGGGAGGTTGCAGCGAGCTGAGATCATGCCACTGCACTTCAGTCTGGGTGACAGAAGCTCCATCAAAAACAAACAAAATCCTAAAGACTCATCCAAAAGACTCTTAAATCTGATAGACAAATTCAGTAGTCTCAGGTCACAAAATAAATGTACACAGATCGGTAGCACTAGACCAACAACAATCAAGCTTGAGAATCAAATCAAGAACTCAATCCCTTTCACAACAGCTGTAAACAACAACAACAACAAAACCCACCCTAGGAATATACTTAACCAAGGAGGTGAAAGGTACCTACAAGAAAAACTACAAAACACAGCTGAAAGACATCACAGATGACACAAACAGAAACATATCTCACGCTCATGGATAGGAAGAACCAGTATTGTGAAAATGGCAATACTGCCCAAAGCTATCTACAGACTCAATGCAATTCCCATCAAAATACACCATCGGGCTGGACGCAGTGGCTCACGCCTGTAATCCCAGCACTTTGGGAAGCTGAGGCGGGTGGATCACAAGGTCAAGAGATCGAGACCAGCCTGGCCAACATTGTGAAACCCCATCTCTACTAAAAATACAAAAATAAGCTGGGAGTGGTGGCATGTGCCTGTAGTTGCAGCTACTCGGGAGGCTAAGGCAGGAGAATCCCCTGAACCCAGGCAGCAGAGGTTGCAATGAGCCAAGATTTTGCCACTGCACTCCAGGCTGGGCGACAGAGCAAGACTCCATCTCAAGACGAAAACAAAACAAAACAAAACAAAAAACAACAACAACAAAAAAAACAAGACAAAAAACCGAAATATAGTAGATCTACCATCTATCTACCATCCAATCCAGAAATTCCACTACTGGCTATCTACCCAAAGGAAAAAAGTCATTATATGAAAAAGGTACATGCACACACGTTTATAGGCAGCACAATTCACAACTGCAAAGATAAGGAACCAACCTAAGTGCCCATCAACCAATGAGTGGATAAAGAATGTGGTGCATATACAACATGGATACTACTCAGATATGAAAAACAATGTATTCTGCAGCAACTTGGGTGGAGCTGGAGGCCATTATTTTAAGTGAAGTAACTCAGGAATAGAAAACCAAATACTGTATGTTTTCACTTGTAAGTGGAGCTAAGCTCTGGAGTGATATAATGGACTTTGGGGAGGAGAGTAAAGGGGGAGGGTAGGAAGGAAGTGAGGAATAAAAGACTACATGTTGGGAACAGTGTACACTGCTTGGGTGATGGGTACATTAAAATCTCACAATTCACCAATATAGAAGTTATTCACATAATCAAAAACCACGTATACCCCTAAAAGTACTAAAATCAAAAAAAGAAAATGAGAGGCTGGGTGCGGTGGCTCATGCCTCTAATCCCAGCACTTTGGGAGGCCGAGGTGGATGGATCACCTGAGATTGGGAGTTCGAGACCAGCCTGACCAACATGGAGAAACCCCGTTTCTACTAAAAATACAAAATTAGCTGGGCGTGGAGGTGCATGCGTGTAATCCCAGCTACTCAGGAGGCTGAGGCAGGAGAATTGCTTGAACCTGGGAGGCAGAGGTTGCGGTGAGCCTAGATCGCGCCATTACACTCCAGCCTGGGCAACAAAAGCAAAACTCCGTTTCAAAAAAAAAAAAAAAAGAAAAGAAAAATCCTTTAGGGACAAATGAAAACAGAAGCACAAAATACCAAAACCTATGGGATGCAGTAAAAGCAGTGCCAAG